TTTCTTCTGGGCCACTATAGCACTTTTCATCGGAAACTTTGCTCCACTTGGACTTGCTTTTAATCCAACTCTTTGTTCCCTTACAGAGTGGGGACATCTGCATAAATTCACAAACTACATCCATTTTTTTGTTTGTTTGTTTCCATTTTTCTAATGTATCTTCTAAGGATTTTTTTTTTCTCTATTTAAATACTAAGTGTTATTTTCCTGTCTTTAGAAGATTTATTATCCTGTTTTTCATTTTCTGTTCTGAGTATGTGTTTGACACATCTTTAGTTATTAGAATAGAAGCCTGACACTGTAGGAAACAGAAAATGTTTGCCTGCATTATGTTTCACATTATAAATGGTGCTTGTTCTTTGTCATACAAACAGGTTCCTTGAATAATTTCATGGTGTGCTGTTGAGAACTGTGCTGAGCCATTTGCTAGGAAATCGGCATCTCCTGCAGCAAACTCTCCATGCTTTGTCAGCCACTATATCTAGGGAATAAAATCTATTCAAGAAAAAATCCAAACATGGAGCAGTTATGACTTATGTCCCTGAAAAATATGTTTTGAGTTTAGGAACCAAATATCTGGCATTTTTGGGGGGCAGTGTCCACGACTAAAGCTTTGATGTACAGTAGAACATTCAAATCATCTGCCTTTTTACTCCAAATCTGGTATTTGCAATAAAATATATTGACTAGTTACAGTTTTCCTTTCAGTTCTTGACTTTTGGGGAAGGTTCAGCTCCTGAAAGCAGCAACAGGAAGTTTCAGCTTTATTTTCAGACTGTGGTGGAATTTCAGTAATTTTAACCCTGAGAACTTTAAAAAGTAAAATAAAAAAATGAGACACCCCCCCCTTCTCCTTAATATTAAAGATGATGAGGAATACCTTAAAGGTTGGAGGGGTTTTATTTGCTTTCTGGTCTTGACATACTGGGTACAATCATATCCTACTTTCCAGCTTGTCTTCACCAATTAATAGATGTGCCAACTCTTTTTATATTATTATTTTTTTTTAATGGCAGCTGAAATGTGTTGATTCCAGCAATAGTTAATATCAAAAGACTTTTCAGCTCTCATATTTTATGGCAGCATTTACTGCCTTGTTTAGAGCTGCTTGTAATTTTGCAAGAGAAGGCTGATATTAGAAATAGCAAGGAGTGAAACCCCCAGAAAACCAACATGGAGAAAAGAAAGGCAGGATCTGTCAAAAGCAGGAAGGATTCTGATGTATTATCCCAGGGTTTTTCTTTGTTTTATAATAAATATTTTGAAAGGTTTGACATATGCTGTTGGATCCAAAGTACTTGAAAATGATGTTGGTATTGGCATCCTGTTTCTACCAGGTCCCCAGTGTCTCTGGTGCCTGACAAATTAATGTCACATGAGCAGCAATTAGTGTTGACATTTCTTAAGGCCAAGATGAGGAACACTCAGAGCAAGCAGTGCTACTCATAAAAACAAGAATTTGGATTTTTTTTTTAAGTTGTTCTGGTCTTTGCTGGCCAACTTAGCTTTTTGACCGAGTTCCTTGTCTGCCTTTGAGTGTTTGGATCAGAACAGGGAGTGCAACCTTTCACACTTTCAAGTGTTCACAGTGCCTTGATTTCCTTTGTCCCCTCTTCCTCCAGAGTATCTACTCAGTAAAAAAGTGAGACTTTTTAAATGGTGAGAAAGGATGTTTTTTGTTTCATAGGAGTTTGTTTTATAATAAAATACTCAAGCTTCTAGGCAGATCCTTGAGCTGTTTGCTTGCTGGTTCAGCTGTTAAGGCTGGAACAGAGCGGTGGAAAGACAGACATGCATGGTATCCATAGGTCCAGTTATGCTGAAGGTACTTGCTTTCTGCCTTTATCCTACAGATCTCTTTTAGATTTTTTTTTTTTTTTTTGATTAAGAATATTCTTTCTTTTGGATTAAATTAAAGGAAACTCTGAGCTTATGAAACTTGGCTATTGCTTTTTTTTTTTTTTTTTTTTTTTTTTTTTTTTTTTTTTTTTTTTTTTTTTTTTTGACTACTACTTGAAACAGAGGGTTTTGCAGTGACAAAAGTTTTTTATCAAGTGAGCTTGATAGTTTGGTATAGTGCTTGCTAGTGCTGGACAGAAAGTGCTCAGCTTGGAGGGTCCCTATGGGTACATGTTGCTGTGCTCTGCAAACTCTCAACACCGAGGCTGTGCCAGCTGTTTGGTACTGGAACCTTCTCTTGGCTTTCTGATGAGCTGTGGCTTCCTTTGGATGCTCAGTGTCTCTTGAGAGACCCCCATGCCTGATTTGAAGACCTGGAGCCAGGTGTCTAAATGTGAGCACCGCTGAAACATGAGGAGGAATGTGCAGAATATTTAATTCTAAGCTTCACTTTGGTCCATTTCTACTGCAATAGGTGATTAGAACAAAAACCCAAACAATGCATGGCAAGATGGAGTTTGTTAGCTCACAAAATGGGGTTGGAAATGTTGACAAATATATTTGTGGTGTTCCTGTGTGATTGCTCCATTTCTCTGTTTGCAAGGCTCCTGTATTGCAGCCTAATCCAAAGCACAGCAGGACTCCTTCCTAGGACTAGTCCTTTCTATCATATCTCTCCCTCCCCCTAAATCCCTTCAATCAGCTTTCAGTAAAATAGAAAATAGGTTTTATTACTTATTAAAAGTTTTATAATGGAGGCCTGGCTTATCTTCCCTACCTTCTGTCACTGACAAACTTGGACCAACAACTGCCAGATATTTGTCCAGAAAATAGATTGAAACATTGTGGCTTTTATGCTCTCAGTAACTTTACAACCTGGGAGAAGCTTCAAAAACCCCAAACCACCCAAACAAGTAGTAGGAACTAGTTTAAAAGTTACAGGTCACTATGGCAATTCAAAAATACTGATGCATGACTTGCATTTTTCTTCAGTTTTATCAGCTAGGTGAACCTAAGGTTGCCAATGTTAATCTGCAACGTAATACTTGCTGTGTGATGTTTCTGTGGCTGTGCTGTGGATTTTTCACATCACTGCACAGTGTTACACTGGCACATGGAGTTCATTTGAAACACTTGAAATGAAATAACTCCAGAATCAGGTACCACGTGTGTGCTGCCATCAGCCAGGGCCATCAGCACAGAACCCACTGCAGACATGGCCCTCCTGTGTCACAGCCCCTCTCACTGGTGCCTTCTCTGCACCTTGCAGTGAGCAACTGAATGGTTGACAACTTCAGGTTCTTCACAGGTTTCCATCTACATCCACATCCACACCCCTGAACACCAGTCCTTGCACGTTCTCACTTTACGAGATGCAATCATCCCAAACCTCCATCTGCAGCAGACTCTGGACTTCCCTGTCTGATGCTGCTTGCACTGTTCTCTTCAGCCACACATGAAATAATGCGTTTAGGGTAAATTTCACTGGCCTACAATTTCTAGAACTTCTTCAGGGTGGTTCAGTTCCCTCACACTTGTAGTGCCTGTTCTTCCATTTGGTATCAACAGTTAGTTGGTACTTTCTGCCAACTTCAATGCATTAAGGGTTATAAAGTGAGCATTAGGGATGGAATATCATGAGGTTTGCTCCCTCTCCAGATTAAACAAAAATAAAATTAAAAATCCCTCAATATGCAAGAAGGTCAAACATGAGCTATGTGAACTTGTTAAACACATTTATTGAGTTCTTGACAGTAACCAAACACAGTGAATGACCATTATAAACAAGAAAAAAGGCATTTGCTTTTACTTGGTCAGCTCCTGCTTTATCTGTAAAGAAAAAATATCCCTTTCCACCACCAATTTACAGGATTGAATGTTTGTCCCAATAATGGCTTCAGCGAGGAAAATGGCAATTTTAAACTGAGATATGTTTCAACTGCTTTCTGCTTCTGAGCCCAGTTCCTGTTAATGATGGACCATAAAGTGGAGTTAAAGATATACCAGCTCTAAGTGCATTCCTAATTGTCATTAACTCACTTAAACTGGCTGCAGAAAAGAAAAAAGAAGTTAAAAAAAAAAAAGAAAAACAAAAGAAAAGCACAAATAATGCAGCCACAAGTAGCAGAGGCTTATTATTTCAGAAAGAAAAAAATAAATCAAAGCAAGTTTACTAAATTAATTTGTTAAACACATTTATTGAGTTGTTAAGAGTAACCAACACAACGTATGACCTGTTGTAAAACAAGAAACAGAAAATGGATCAATTCCGATTTTGGCAAATCCTACTACAGATATGTGACAGAGGGAAATATTTCAATTTCCTTTATATTCTGCAGTGATATATTTACAATACTTATCTCTCAAAGTCTGTCCCTTTTTTTAATTAAATTAACAGAAAGATCATAACTTAGAAATAAGTTTCCTTTACAGTAGTCTTGTTCTGTCTCGTCAGGATCCATTAATGATAGTGAAATAATGAGAGCTTTCCAAGGATTACTTGGCACACAGAACACAACTCCACTTTGATGCTGTACCGAGCCACCTTTTTTCTTTCTTTTTTTTTTCTTTTTTAATTGAGGGGAGGGGGAAAGAGGAAGAATTTCATATGTACAAAGGCTGAAAAGTCTTTCTTTGTGACTCTAAATTAGTTCAGGAAAATCGTAATCACATTTACTGTAATACTGTCTTTTTACTTTTTACTTTTTTTTTTTTTTTTTTTTTTTTTTTTTTTTTTTTTTTTTTTTTTTTTTTTTTTTTTTTTTTTTTTTTTTTTTTTTTTTTTTTTTTTTTTTTTTTTTTTTTTTTTTTTTTTTTTT